AGCACGTCATACTGCAATAGTCTCGGGAAATAAAACGGACTTGGGAGAAGCGAGAGATGTCCAACATTGTATTAACACTGATCAACATGCCCCAGTTAAAGTTACACCAAATAGATTTCCGTTTCATAAGCGTGAGGTTGTACGAGAAGAAGTGGAATCGATGCTTGCAAGCGACGTGATTGAACCTTTTACATCCCCTTGGTCGGCACCGGTGGTGCTGGTGAGAAAAAAAGACGGAAGCGAACATTTTCAGTTTAAAAGAATGCCTTTTGGCCTGACTAATGCACCGGCAACATTTCAACGAGCTACGAATACGATTTTGGCGGGACTGTGCTGGACTGACTGTGTGATATATTTGGATGACATTATTGTGAGCGGGAGGACACTAGAAGAGCACAATCAGCGTCTTGAGAACGTACTAGGAAGATTAGAAACTGCAGGTTTGAAATTGAATGCAAGAAAATGCGAGTTTGTCCAACAGCGGAGTGTTATTTTAGGACATGTCGTTAGTAAGCAAGGGATCTCGACTGACCCCGATAAGGTGTCAGAAAGCATTCAACATTCTAAAGACAAAATTGACAACGGCCCCAATACTGTCCTATCCGAGACTTGACATTCCTTTTATTCTTGATACTGAGTCTGATGCCTGTGATACGGGAATTGGAGCTGTGTTGTCGCAACGCCATGGAGAAGACGAAAAGGTTATTGCCTATGCCGCAAGGTCCTTATCTAAAACGGAAAGGAACTATAGTACTACTAGGAAAGAACTATTGGCCCTTGTATGGTATGGTCGATGAAACATTTCGCATCCTATATAATAGGAAAACCATTCAAAGCACGTTCTGATCATAATGCACTGAGGTGGATAAGAAATTTTAAGCAACCTAAAGGACAAGTAGCACGATGGATTGAAAGGTTGTCCGTTTTTTTTTACTTTAAAATTGAACATAGACCTGGACGTAGTCATCGTAATGCTGATGGTGTATCACGTATACCTCAGGATACTCGTGAGGTACAGACTGGCCACGTATGTAACGCATCGAATGGTAATGCGAAACGAGCCCGTGGTGTCTCCGCTGGACAGCGAAGGAACTGAGTTTGCATCAACACGAAGACCCAGAGATTTGCCGCACGATCGGATGGGTGAAAGACGGTAAGCGACCACCGAAGGAAGATATAACACGTATGGGTTTTCTAATGGGCAAGCTTTGGAGCAAATTCGATCAATTGACCATTTGCGTAATAGACTAAATTTTGATCTCAACAAAAATTTCATCATAGCTTGAAAGAGCATCACAAAATTAGTAATATTCCAAAGTTTCGCTACAAAATGTTGTAAAATGCGGAAAATATAGCCTTGCGAAATTTGCAATTTTCAGTCATTTTAGATTACAAATCGGAAATTGACAGCCTCGAAGGGTTTGG